ATTCTTAATGCACTTAAATTATTGCATTTAAATTTTATACATTGCACGCGTAAAAAAATAACTATGAAAAAAATGTGAGATATTCTTGAATTATGAAGATTCATGAATAATACTTCACCGCGTTTCATTCGTTCTATTCGTTCACTGTTAAATGTTTCAATTTAACGAGAACAGACTGTTCGTTGCAGGACGTGAAATTCGACTGAATTGAATCGAATGAAATTAAACTAATCGTCAAAGAAATTTGTATTATATTTCTCACGCTGCGAATTAAAGTTTTTAACGTGTCGATTTTCAAACCACGAGGAGGACATTGTTCTCAGATGTATCTTTCGGTGATTCGTCAAACGTGGATTAACGACCATTGGTTTTTAAAGGCTACTCACCTCGATCCGAGATCACCTCTGGGCCCCACAGCTTGGAACGGGCTTGTTTCCGTCAGCCTGAAGATTCCGCCGCCCGAGATGTTCGGATGATTGTGTTGCGGACTGTGCGGTCCAAATCGGAAACCAGCGGGCGGGAATTTGAAGGCCGTTGCGTGGTTGAATCGAAACTGCGATTGCGACGGATCGAAGCGGAAATTTAAGGACGGCGGGGGCAAAGGGCCAAGGGGCCCGAGAGGAACAGGAGGTTGATGAGTTGGCGGTGGCGAGGAACTTGGCGACGCAGGAGACGTTCCACCGAGCGAGATGTCGGAATCTTCCGAATCGCTGCCTCCTGGCCCGGGACTCAGAGCGCGTCGTGCATTCCCGTTTCCTGTACCAGATTGCTGTTGCATTCTGAAACACAACGCCAACAACAGGATTAAAGAACGTTAGATCAGAGTCTTCCGGGAATTTTTATGTTTGAATAGTGTATGTAGGTCTAAGTAGCATTGATTAATTGTAATACGATCTTATGATCTCGTTATAAGAACGTTAGACATCTTAGCGAAATCGTGTCGGATTATAATATAGTAGTATTGAAATATTATATTAATCTTCAATTTCAACTGTCTTTATCGAGTTCGAGCTACTCGTGCAATTCATGCTACACGGTCTGTGTTCAATATATGTGTGATCAGAAAAATTTTTCCTCAAACATTCGAAGGGAAAATTTAAGTGGCCATGCTCGTATGATGTGTTTCTCACATCTCTGGCCTCTTATCGTATACCATCGAGGATCGCTTACTCGAGCATGCATCACCCGTCGAAGGGTTAACTAGAGAGGTCACCGATTATTATTGGTAGCAAGTCGGTCAGCTCCATCTCATAGGTAAAGTGGCGCGTAGGCGCGCGTTGATCGCGATGAGAATTTCAATTCGTTCCCGTCCTAGGACGACAGGTTCATATAGGTGGATGTACCCTGGCGCTGAAAAACACTTTGTTTCCAGTCATCGCCGCGGAGGAGTGACTATAATTAATGAGCGGGCTCATCCTTCCCAGGTGAGCAGAAGGATTCACGGGAGAGTAACGACGATTCCCTAGGACGGGTTTGTACAAAAGGAGGATCCACCTCATTACTCGAGAGATTACGGATAGATACAGAAACGCTTCGCGAACTTCTCACGCGACTCATCCATCGCGGTCAGAGATAAATGGCGAAGAGTCGTGCCACGATCGGAACGGATGTTCCGACTTGTCGACAGGAAAGTATTATTCATCGTGCCACCCACGATCAAGTATTAAACCAGTCGAGCGACAAACGTATATCGAGAAAATCCGCATTACAGTAATCTCGTACTATTTTCTCCCTTCTTCGTCTCTACATAGTAACAGAATTTTCACCAAGTAGAAGCAAAGATAGAAACTCGCAAACACCTCTGGTGAAAACTTAAGGTAAAAATAATTTTCCCTCCGCCTGGATCGCGTAATCGTGTAACACGGTAAAGGAAAACACCAGCGGAAGAATCCACTTTCCATCGTGAAAGGAAAACGCTTCCCCCTCGACCTGGTATTAAGAGAAAGAAGAATCATTCGCTAGTCTGCCAGAGACAATGAGATGTTGTGGTCGCCTTAAAAGCCTCTTCGCTCCAGATCGATTCAACGCCGGAGCTCCTGAGATACTCCCGTATTTTCTTTGCTAATCGAGTTTCGAGCCCGCGCTGTTACCACGGTAACACCTCGAGTGATTTCGAACAGGTTCGCTGCCCGAGCGAGAATCGTCGGATCGCGCCCGGTGCTTCCTCACGCTCCAAAAAGAGAAACGCCCGTGTACGAAAGCCGCGGCAACTCTCCAGCTGATTCCACCTTTTAAGTTTAAGAACGTCAGTATCCTTGCTTCGCGTCTTTATAATTCTACTTTGTTTTCAAATCCTCACAACGAACGTCGCAAGTAAAAATAGTGCGAACTTGGCTCATTCTCCAAAGTATCGATCTTCGAATCAGAAGATCAGAAATATTTAGATATTCTGTCATTTACGCTGAAAAACCTCAAGAAACAGCGGAATTGAACAATCTGGGCAGCTCGAACTTACGAAAGTCAGTTGTTGGACACTGAAAGTAATATTCTCGGTGCGACAGTTAAGTTTGTACTGTTTTTAGCAGAACGCATTTGAAGAAAAGCACGAAAAACTGATGTTACAAGAAAAACTTTCATCTAGATTATATCGTGACTAAAAAGAAACGCGTGTGTGTCAATAGAAGTGCAGCTTCCTATTTATTTGCCACTGTTAAAACCACCACCATGAGATTCGGATCTGAATAAACTTCCTGCCTCGATGCAGCGTCCATCATCAAGGGGTTAAATCACACATCTCGCCAGCTCTTTATTCACCATCATCCCCTGTAAATCTGACATTCCCTTCACACTTTCTACATACAGAAATATATAACGAGACGTCAATTTCACTGACGAAGGTATGAAAGCGATTTATTCGATTCCGTGGGCACAGAGGAAGGCGAAGGGCGGTAGCGAGACTCGAGAGATTCGAGTAGAGGCCACTCTCTCAGTGGACCTGTTTAAAACGCGTTGGACATGGTAATCGAACCCGTACCTTCCTACTCTCTCTCTCTCTCTCTTTATTCTTTTTTTTTCTCTTTCGTTCTTCCTCTCGTTTCTTTTCCTTTTTTTCTTTTTCTTTCTTTCTCTCTCTCTCTCTCTCTTTTTTCTCTTTCTTCTCAACGTGTCTCGCATCAGCGGGACACTCGACGCGTTTTAATTATGCCTCAAGACCGCTTCCTCTTTTGTCTTGGCCCTTTCACGAGACACCCGCACGAGCGGCGCGACTTATTATGTGCCAGCCTCTCCTGTTTTGTTCCACTTAAGTGCTCGTCCACCCGATCGTCGTCCCTATTCAACGCGTCTTAATGTCGTGGCATTAAAGTGCGGAGGCTCGAGCTTACGGTGTCAATTTTTCGCCGTGAATACCACCGGACATTAATTTCTCCGATCCTTCGCTTCTTAGATTTCTAATCGACAAGAATCCCCCATTTCTTCGCTTCCTGTTTTTACGAATGATCGCCGATCCGAAGTTTGGAGTCATTTTGTACTTTAAAGCTGTCGGTCGAATTTAGAAAAATTAGTTGGCTCAGACGTCCGTTAGGAAGCTATTTTCTCGAGAACCTATCGAAGTGAAGGAAACCACTTACTAGTACCAATAAAATTTGTGATTTCAAAGTTTCAGTGGATAATATTCGTATTATAGCTTTTCCATTAGAAACCAACGTACCAATACACCGATCGAGGTTATTCTTCACACATATTATGTCTACATACATGTTCCCATCGTTATTTAATTAATCGAAAGCCTAACAAGGAGGCGTGTCGTTCCGTTTCAAAGCACGAATTTTACTCGCTGCGTTCGCACGTACCCGCGAATACAATTACGAAATTGCGAAACATCGGCCGGCGTCGGAGTTATGCCATCAAACCGCGCTGCTTCTGTACTGTTTCCGCGGTTAACGAGGGATATCGGCGTTCACGGCTCGGTCGCTCGTTAAAACTCAACGAGCTCGCCACGAAAAAGGGCCACGGTCC